AATTTCAATTATTTTTATAATTTTCTATTAACTTTCAATAACCGTGACTTCCGCATATCCAATGTGATTCTTTGCCAGATTATTTTTCAATAACCGTTATCTTTGCACGACAATTTCAATCGTTCATTGTGGATCCCACGTTCCATCAATTTGTACACTATGTTTGCGACGATAATACGAGACAATTAACAGAAAATTACTCGAGCGAAAGATTATAAAGTTGTGAATTTTGAAAGCAGACAGACACGTATCTATCGGGTCGTGGAGCAGTGAAATTGATATAAGCAGAGGCGTAAACATTGTTTAATGCCCAAGACGTTGACGCCTGTTCGCGAAACAAGATTCTAATAGCGTAGTTGCGAGAAGTTTGATGAACCGTGTCGGCGAAGTTACGCTCAGCCAATCAACCATTCATGATCTAATGCGTTTCAGATTTTGCCGATCTAGGCACAATAGAACGAAACCGGCGACGATTTTTCTCCGATCATTGTCGCCGTGTAACAATCGCCAGGTTCGCTCAATGCTTTTTATCGTTTCAATCTTCCGCGCCGTTTCAAATGTCAAAAATTGAATTACACGTATCCGGCGGGTTACAAGGGATTTCGAACGGGTTACACTTTAATATTAAAAATGAAATCGAAACCTTCCGCAGATTTACATTCTAGATTCGTTCACGCGTGATTGATTTATGATAGGACATTGGACACTGCCAATTTTTCTCCATGAAATCCGAAAACAATGGTGGAAAGAAATATGTTACGCGTCTGTAATAATAAAATTTTATTTTCTCTCGCACGTTCATGGTTAAAAATCTTAAACGGATGGTAATTTATTATATATTCGCTACGACATAAAAAGAAAGTGTGAGGTGACAATTAAAAGATGATTATTTGAATAAATATGATTCAGGGAAATTATTACAATTAACTATGAATTTACTACGCGTAACTTAATCCGACGTATTGATAATTTACTAGAAATAAAAAGTTACTCCGAGTTTATTAAACGAGAGGCTACACGAACGCAATTCGAATTAAAATTACAAATTGAAAGTGTAAAATTCTGATCGCGGAGGCTAAGACGCGAAGGCTTCCAGCGCGCTTAACTTAAGCCGAAATTCACCCTCTTCAACTTCACCCTTTGAATCCTCTTTAAAGTAACTATAGCCTAAAGTAACCCCCTCAGCTCTTCCTCTATTCATCCCTCGTGTAATAACATTTCCCACGTCATATTCACCTTCGACGTACCCTAAATCAAACACAAGCGAATCCAAGATAAGATAAAGTAATCGAGCCGACGATCAACCCCCGTAACAACCATCAATCTCGACAAATTTGCAACGTTTGGACAAGCAAGAATTCCACCACTCTCCTCGAGATTCGCGAGTCTCGATTCGAGACATTGGCCAATTTGTCCAGTTTGTGGAAAAAATCGTCTAAGAGCTAATTAGGCGAGGAACATGTATCGAGTACAATGGCACCTTTAAATACCAATCTCGGGGTGGTCGTGTTTATCTCGGAGAGCGTTGACAGGTGGGGCGCCGCCGCGCGTCTATTGATTGGTGCCCAGCCTCCCCACCATGCACTCACACTCACATCGATTCCTCTTTCCTCCCCTCGTCGAGCCACCCTGTTCTTCCAACCTTCTTCAACCCTCTTTCTTCCACGCTTCTCCATTTTCCAGCCGCGCGTCTTCCCTTCTCTCCTTCTCTCTTTCTCTCCTTCTCGTCCGTCGCGCGTCCTTCATATTTTTCTTTCGGCCGCGAGCCTCGTTTTTCGGCGTTGCACACCTCTCGCAACGACATCGGTATTCGTCTGGAACCGCCGCTCTTATGCTTCTTGCATCCCCTACTCTCTCACTTTCTCTCTTTCTATCCCTCTTTCCCTCTCTCTCGTCTTTATCTCGTTTTCCAGACGTTGTTCCACTCGAATCCACCAACCTCGAACGACCGATTTTTTCGCTCATTTGTTACCAGTTTCCACGTATTCCAGTCTGTTCACAGTCCCCCCTTTAGAGAGTCCCGAGACTCATTGTCAGTCCCGCGTTCTCTGTTCGACGTACGTCTGCAAGTTTCGTCCTGTCATTGTTCACCACGTCTCGTTCCTCTCCACCTTGTTCGTTTCCTCGTGCACGCGCTTAATCGTTTCTACACCCTGTAATTTATTTCAGCTCGCCCTTTTTACGCGCGTTCTTTCGCCGCGTTCTTACAAATCGTTCCACGTCGTCCCTTTGTCCCGGACGATTCCCAGCGGATCAACCGATCCTTCCTGTCCAACCGAGAATTCGTAAAATTCGGCCACGCGTTCCTTCCCTTTCTTTCCCATTTCTTTCTTTTGTCGCTCGATCTCTCGATCTCGTCCGTGTCGCCGGTTCGTTTGCTCATCTCTTTGTCCTTGTATTAGCTTTTTCCTTCCCCCCCCCCTCCCCCCTCTCCCCTCGAAGCTTTTTCAGACCGGCAACGACAAGTTGTTTCTTGCGATTTCGACTAACGAGAAGCGTTTAACGACACTGAATGAACAATCAGTGACAAGAACCGTGCCGATTGATAACGTAAGAAATTCCAAGTCGATTTTTGAGATTCTTTTCCTGATTCTTTTTCTAAGAAATTGTTTACTTGAAATTTATTTGTGTCATAAGAAATTTGATTTTCGTCGACTCGGTCAAGTCAAATATCGACGTCGTTCAAAAAGATAACGATAAAGTAGGTCTAGTCAAATCTTACAATTACAGTTACACTTAACATGTTTTGGAATAACGATGATCATTTCGACGAAAATTTTGTACAGCGAAAAATTCAAATGCAAGAAAGGAATCGATATGTTCAATTTAGACCGAAAATAAACGGGGAACGGTATTACTTTGAATAACATCGTGGAAAAAAAAGGTTCAAATCTATCTGGATTAATTCGGATATCGTATTGAATTCGTGGAAGCACTATCAGTCAGAAATTTGGAATCACTCTTCCAGTTGTACCTATATAGAATTTCCTGTAATTTTATTATTGCTTCAAAGCCAAAGCTGCAAATATCACAGATATCCGATATCTCAACAAATGTTGTAATTTAAAACATCTAGATACGACGTAATGATTCCAAACATTTGATAAATAATATTTAACATTTTCCATCGTTGAAATGAAATACTGTAATCCTCGTTAATTTCTCTCTTCAAAGACCAGACTCGCGCGTTGCGGAAATAAAAAAGAAGAAAAATATTTATAACCTCGAAGCAAATTAAGTTTATTAACTAAATTAGGAAAATTACTCGAAGAGAAGAATAGAGTACCAACGTACAATACGTGGCTGGAGAACGTGCTCCAACGACGAGAACTTCGACTCGAACGTCCAACAGTCAATGTGGCATTCATTTCGCAAGCCAGCGAGCGTTTCAGTCAGCGATTACAAAGAGACATCGTGACTCTCGTGACACAAAACACGTAACTTTTAAGTAATCTGGGTACCGGGTTAGGTGAATCGAACATCGTTTCGAAGAAAAAGGAGGGGGTGGGGTGGGAGGCAAAGGGTCCACCGTTGCAGGTTTGATCGGCGAAGCTTGAAATTATCGGTAGCCAGGGTGAGAGGAAATTTCGAACAATAGTCGGTTACAAGCTGAACGACCTCCGAGCCGATCGACAATGTCGTCGTGTTACTCGGTAACTCCGATTCGCTTCAGCGTCCTCCATTAACTTTATTCGTTATCTTTTATTATGGTGGTTCGCGCGATGGTGGCGTCGATACGGAGTTTATGGCGAATGTGGCCAGCGAAATCCGTGTTCGCAAACGAGTGTACACGGGATTTCTCCCGTGCGAACACGAAGGCAACGAGAACGAAAAGCAACCGAGTATGCAGCTGCGTCGAAAACAGGGACGTTCGCCACGGTGGAAAATTTCTCCGGGATTTTCGACAGTTACGTAGAAATTACGCGGAATGTTTAAATAAAACGCAATACGTTCCAGCGAATGGGAACAGTTCCGCAAAAGTGGTTTAATATTCGGCACGATAGTGGAAATTAGTGGTCGTTTCACGGAGCGAAATTCGTTCATATCGCTCGGGCGATACGTCAGGGGCTTTTGATTTTCTGCGTTCCATGCGCCGAATTCCGTACCTCGAGCCTCGCTAAATGTTACAATGGCGCTCGCTACTGGAGGAGGGATTTCGAATTTTACGCGATTTTCGTGCCGTAGCAGATCTCCGTCGTAGGAATTTCTCATTTTACGTTATTTTTAATTTTTTTTTTTTTTTTTTAAATTATTTCACGGTGAGACTTGCCTGTATGCCAGAGACGACTCATATTTTTCGAAAAATTAATATTCAATAAATGAGTGTCTTGCGTTTGTATTTATTTAGTAGAATAAATTATTGACGAAGTGGGACGTGATATGATGCCAGACGCGATTGATGCCAGACGCGATTGATCGATAAATTTTCGAAAGAGGATCATTTCGTGCGTCTGAGTATACGTGGCAGATGTGTCTGGAGTTGCAGAAATTACAGACATTTTCTGCGAAAAAGAATGTCGAAAATATTTTGCTTTTGCTTTTTACGATAAATGACGCAGTCATATCTGTGTATATCACGAAAGACGTGATTAAATTTTAAATTAGAAATCTATATTCTTGTAACTCTGATATCGAAAGGTTCCTAACCTAACTCTGTATTTTCTTTAGGTTTTAAAAAGAAAAAGAACCTGATTACACTCGTTTCACATATTAAATAATTATTATTTACATTTATATTTTATTTATTATTTATTTATATTTACTTCCCATATATATGGGAAATTTATAAATAAATAAATATGTATATACTATGTTTATTTGAACCAGATTTCAGTTTCATTGATTAAATAAGTAATTTTAAATATTTTTGCGTTTATAAATTTTCCATATATATATATATATATACAACGTTTATTTGAACCAAATATATATATATATATATATATATATATATATACACAACGTTTATTTGAACCAAATTTCAGTTAATGTCCGATTAAATGAACAAACTGGTTGCTGGTTACACGAACGAAAAATCACAGAATTACGTAAACTCGAATTATATGATACAAACTATTTATCCCACATATAAATTTACAATAAATACTCTAAACTTCGCATTCAACGAGTGTGAAAAGAATAAAGAAACTAACGCGTCGGAGAATTTCATTTCTGCCATCACGTTCACGATGATCGATTCGTCAGAGGGGGCTGGTGAAAGGATCACCCCGAGAGTCAGAGATCCATAAGTTCAACCATGCAAGACCTTTCATTCGACAGCGTGGCTAATCAGCGAGCCGGTTCCACGACAAATCCAATCCGAGGACAATGACCTAACGAGCAAACTCGATTTAAATCCGGACGCCTCAATATCGTTTCGAAGGCGTCTAGTGAGTGACACGGTGGCACGGAGACTATCCGCGAGACGCCTTGTCGCCCGTTGGATCCGATATTGTATCCCTTAAGACGTTCCACAGATTTAAATTAAGTTCTTGCCCGCAGATATTGAATTCACTTTATGTTAATACCGGGTGATCCTCGCCACCCTCGAAAGCCACCAGGGGAGAAGCACGAAGACGAACGGCTGAATAATTTTCGAAAGCTTTTTCCTCCGTGGAAACTAGGCAGAGGGAAGAAAAAGAAGAAGAAGAAGAAGATCCGATTCGCTGATCCGTTTCTTCGGGAATCAACTGGCTACGCTTTGTTCCTTCGTTTCCCACAATCTTTGTCCTTGGTTATAATTCAATTAAACGATTTAATGAACGCTTTCGTCCAGAGTTTCTGGACGGTTTCGATTTATTTGATACGATCGTGGGGTAGAAGAACCTCTTGCCCCGTATCGTCGGGGTGGAGATGTTTAGAAAAAGAAGAAACGAAATTTCATTTGCCGAAAGAGGATCTCATTGCTAGACTACTTGCTGTATAAAAGAGTTCAGAATTGTGTGTCAAATCATGGATCGTGCTTTTCGAGTTCGATGTAATGAAAATTTTAATTCTGGATGGTAATTCTTGAACTTTCTCTGAATCTCGTAGCAGCATTATAAATTACGGGACATATTGGTTAGTTTCAATACTAATATAAAATTGCATATGTTACTGTTATTGAAATATCCACTATTTATAAGAATCCTTGTATTTTTTTCTTTATCGTCTGAAGAAGTGATTCCTTTGAAACGTACATTCGAATAATGATAGTTAAATCGTAATTAAATTTTTTTCTTACTTTCTACACATAGAATTCTTATTATACTTTTATTAAATTTCTGCTCAATTTTCTTGAACTTCACGCAAATTGCATCGACTTAAATTTAATCGTTAAGAGAAAAGAAAAGAGTTAAATTCATTACTTTACCAGAACGTAAAACATCAAAACATTCCCACGATCGAAAATTATCCAATTTCATTATTTCACTAAAATGGCAAATATTTCATTTCCAAACTAACGTGCAAACAAACTCCACTGGTCATTGTTCTCATTACTATGCTTCGAGCCAATCAGCGTTCTGTACGCAAATTGATCAATCTAAAACTTTCGAGTTTCACATTCTCCAGCACAGGGGACTCTAATCACGCACAATATATTGCTTAATCTCGACTTCGTCGCGTTCACGAGCGGGCATTTATACTTCCCTGCAATTTAGGGTAATACCAAGTAATTCCTCGTCCGTCTAGCAGCGACCAGTCGTTCAACATCTCTTGTTGCTCGATAAATTACCGCATGAACGCGTCGTTCGATCACTATATACACGCCGTATCGAAATAAGTCAGCCTGGCTGTCTCTCTCGATAAATTAGTTAACAGTTAACACGCTCACGCTCACGAGCACGCGAAGAGCCCGAGAATGAACTTTTCCGTTATTTTCACTGGAAATCACGGTCAATTCGCCCCTAATGACCATACGGACAGTTCGCTGATAATTTTATGGAGATAGAACTTTCGTAAACTATCGACTGGCATGGTCATCCTAGCATATTACGGAATAACAAGTTGCCGTGTACATATTACATTACGTATTACGTTGCACACCGTTACCATCGTTGGTCTTAATTTTGTATAACGTTGATTACTTAGCAAAGTTTCGGTTTACAGAAAACACAGGTTCTAAAGCTGTTAATTTTACAAGTGGTCATTTTCTCGTTGAATTCTTATCGCGTAGGAAGTAAAGTAAATTACCTAGTAATGGACTGTGTGTACAAGTCTCGTGATTTTTAATTTGTATCTTCAATTATATGCTGAGAATTTAGAAAAAAAAATAATAAAGGGAAGATACAATTCTGATAGAATTGTCCATTCGTGGTTCTTTTCATGGATCAACAGTGATAAGATTCAAGATTTCACGTATTTAGTGGATTAATCGTATCGCTACCTATTATTTTCATTTCTTTGCTCGAACTCGTCGAGGCACGAATTTTTTCTTCCTTCAATTTCTGAAATATGAGATTCAATGTTTAAACGTCTTTTTTCAACGTCCTTGAGAGAGAGTGGGAGATCGTACGGAAAGATTTCTCGGTCAAGAAGCGTAGTTTCTTCTTGACTGAAGAAAAGCGGGTCATCGCGGGGCATTAAGTCGGATCCTACACAATTCCTACGCTACAGTTTATTGTGGAATTCCAGAGTGAAGTTTTCACGATTGAAAGTTTCTCGCTAAATTTCACACTTCGTGTGGCAAATTTCTGCGGCACGCTAACCAATCTGGTTGAAGATTTCTCGACGAAATTTTCATTTTTGCCTGGTACAAAAAAATAAGTAGAACACTTTCAGATACACTATCGCGACTTTCTGGGACAATATTTATCTCCACAAATTTATTTATTACGAGAAGATAGTGATAGCGAACAATCAGGAATTTCAAGCTTTCAAATTTTCCAAAGTGATTTTCATTTTTCTCACAATTTCCGAGCGAGTTGTAATATAAATTAAGCGTCGCGCGCGACGCACGCGATTTAAAGGGACGATCGTGACACGCGGAGAATCATCACTCGGCAAACGAGATGAAACATCGCAAGCGTAGGCGAAGAAAGTTCTAAGTAAGAGGCGACCAAGCAGAGACATTCTTAATCATGTAAACGGGAGGTTGTCTTAAAAGCTCTTTGCGAATAATGGCGGATGGTTCTAGTCAAGCTAGTCCACGAAGGATCCCGTCTTCTCCCTTTTGTTCAAAGATTTACGAGCGGACAGGGGAACTCGAACGAGCCTGGTCTCTCCTCCTCCCCTCCCCCGTTAAAAGTGCTCGATTCGATCGTCAGTATAATGTTCCTCGCGAAAAGTAGAAGTTGAATCTTCCGGCTGGACGTTTCTCGTTTCAACGACAATCCCGCCACCAGAAATTACACCAACTTCCACTGCAGCGTTAACGTGTTTCGCGTCGCATTTACCCCTGAAACTGTCCTTTAACCAAGTTTCCCGCCGGCGAGAATTCTTGCCCCTTGGCTGAGAATTGCAATTCCCGAAAAACTGTCACAATTGAAAGGCTACTGAATACTCCGGCAAGAAATTCTAACATGCACGATAACAATTCCATTCGATCAGATTAAATTAAACGTTTGTAAACATTTCGAATATTTTATCAGGTGAATATTTTTGCATTTTGGTTGCAATTTACATTTTTTTAAAAAATCGTAATAATTGGAAAGATATTATGTATGTTTGTATGGAACTTCAGTGCATAATATTCTCATTCGCGAAAATTGTTTGCAAATATTTCAGGTATTTGAAAAATATCCGCTTGTAGAAGTGCTGCATAATTGACGTGTGCATAGTGAGTATTTTTTATTCAAGACGGAAAATATTGAGAAATTTAAAATCAGTACGACAATGGCGTTTGTTGTTCATCGGACGTGTTTTTTTCTTTCTTTTAATTATTGTCTGATCAATATTTCTTCTATGAGAAAATAAATATGGTAATCGTATGGCGTCGGGAAAGTTGTCAGCTTTCAAACGAATTCCACATTCCACAGTTTGCCACTTAATCTCGAGTCGAAAAGGGCCATGAATTTTGAATAAAATATTCCGCGAAAGGCGTTGACTTTAAAGCATTCTCGACGTTCTGATTTTTATACATATTGAAGTGCCCGTGGTAAAAGAAGGAGCAAGCGACACTTCGTAATTATTCGAACGACTTCAACGACGGTCGTCGAACGTCGCTTGAATAATTTAGATTCGAAGTACGCAAGTACCAATGTACAATATAAAAACAATATTAATACTTGCTAATAATCGACTTTATATTTATTATACGATAATAAAATCCCACTATTTATTCACGATAAACTTTTGTGATAAAAAGAAAGTGAAATATAAAAAACATTTCTTTCTCGAATTATGAACAAATGAAGTAAAAAAAAAAAGTGAACAGACTATGCAATAATCTTGAAAGATACTTGAAAAGAACATACGAAGATATTGAGTTTCTTACAGAAATTTTTTTATGAATATATTATATGTATTCTACGAAATATTTCGTTATAATCATGTTGTTTATATTTAAGACGAATTTGAAAATGTACACAAAAGTAAAGAAGAGGATAAAGTCAAAATATTTAAAAAAGTGAAGTATTTACTGCGACTAATTTAAGATCTACTATCTACTAATTGTATGCCAATTTTTCATTGAGTGCTGATGAAATTTCTGGAAATGTGATACGTTCACAAAAATTTCGAATGCTTGAAAAGTATTCTTCGATCCATTTCTACACTTTCCACAACCAAAATCCAGCCAACGAATCGTAACGTCAAATCGTAACATTGCCTCGATTTTTCTCTTGCCCAAAGCATCGTTTTCGAAACAAACGAGCAACGAAAAAGAGAAAAAAAGAAGAAGAAGAAGAAGAAGAAGAAGGAGAAAATAAAAAAAGAAAACTAGAAGTGGATAACGTCGATCGAATTGTATTAGATTGAAGCGTGTCTACGGAAAGGCAACGATCAGAATTTATATTCCAGAGTGGTAGCTGGTTTGACGACGATCCATCTATTCCCGGTAGACAGTTGACCGGAAAGCTATGAGCCCGGAACAGGTCGTCTACAAGTTCGATCAAGAATCAGTGGTGGTGGCTCTCATGAGCGTGCTCGTCGAGACTGATGCACCCTATCAAACTGTTTGATATACTGCCTCGTTGTAGAACTCTATTGGCGTTCTCGAACAAGTCATAAATTTCCTTGAACCGGTTGGGGGCGCGCGATTGAAGTGCACGTTGCTGCTTGTATTTTTCATGGCGCCACTATCGCGCGGCCGAAGCGTTCCTCCGAGGAATATTCCCCGACAGTTGCTCTCCGGAAGCCTGTTTTCGAATAGACGCCTCGTTGCAAAACGCTCGAGCGTTTAGCTTTACTACTGGGTTATCACCTTCGAGACCGAAAGACGCAATAATTGCGTGACGTTGAATGCGTCTCGTCTTCGGTAACCAAAGTTCAAGCCATTGACCAACCAATAATTGAAGCGTTTTATCAATGAAATCAAAGCCCCTATCGAACGCTCTAGAATAAAATGTTGTATGTAATAATATTATAGCGATATCGTGTAAAAATAAATAAATATATGTATCAAAACTAAAATTAAAAATTACTATACTATAAACGACGTACAAAAACAGTGACGCGTCAATCAAAAAATATTTTCGCACAGCTGATAACGCAAGTTTTCCAAACAAAAATCCCGAACGTTAAATCTGCACGCAGTGTTTTCAAAATTCGCCAGTCTCGATTGTGTCGTGTTTTTAAATTCGCGGGTCTTCGATTCATTCAGCCACGTCATCCGTGTTCGTCATTCGGGATCGACAAAACTGCGAAAATTAAGCACTCGTTGCGTGCACACGAGGTCCGTGAATAAATTTGAAACCGGTTATTAATGGTTGTCCGTCTTTCGACGATTATGACAAATCGCCAAAGTGTCTTTTTAAGTAATGACTTAAAAGAAGTAGTTTCACTACATTTTTTACGGCTGTGATTTATGATTGTTTATGCAGATGCTTGCGAAGGAAAAGAAGAAAAAAGGAAAGGAAGGAAACGGCACACTCCGCTGTAACAATGATTTATCACGCAGGCGCGCGTGTAACTTTCGTACATTTGCATATACCTATGTGTTCAGATCTACAGCATTGTCGCGTCAAGAACTTACAGGTAAAAAAAGAAATTAAAAAACGAGGAAATTTGAAAGGCGGAACTTCTTTTTGTTTGCCCGGTGACTTTAATCGCTTTAGCCATTTGGATTCTGAATGTATTACTCGGCTCGGAATCACCGTCGAACTTCTGTGAAGAAAGTGATATATACGACTCTTTTGTTTTCCCTGAAGTTTCTCTTCACATTGTATATAAGGCATGCATTGTTGCTTGGATCAGTTTGCATCGACAAAACATACGAATACTGAATGTGCGAATTATTAACAAATTAAAGATCAGAAATGGATAAGCACTATGTTTAGAATTAATTATACATGTATGTACGAAGATTGAGCAAAAGTTTCGCGCGCACGATTTTTTGTAAAAAATATAGAGTTGACACGCATTTTTAATAGAAGCATCGATAATGATTTCCTTGCCTAAAGTATTTTAATCCAACGTGTATAAAAGTGTAAAACTTAAATTTTTGGTACTATACATCACGAGAATCGTCAGTTGTCCCTTTGAAATTTAGCAATTTAATCACTGTAATCTTTCTATGAATTTGAACGAATCTTCTGCACCTTGACTGAAGCAAGGAAACTGCTGAAACTTTCAAAAATAAACTTCATCACCTCGCAACGTTCTACAATAAAGGACGAAACTTTTCCGAGCCTTTACGCTTGTAACCTCGCAACTAAATTATACTCCACGAGAAATACCAGCGTGGCTACTTCTGAATAAAACACCGAAAAATCGCTGCTTCATTTTCCGTAATCCCTCCCTCCGTAGTGGAAACACTATCCCCAGTCGGAAACCCATCTTTAAAAGAAAACTCATTGAACAAAAGTTTCCCTTTCACGATGTTACGCCATTATCGCGTTCCATCGCTATCCCAGCTAGAACGTCGGCTGGTGCGCTGGAGAGAAGAAAGGATGATCTTGCGAAAAAATTCACCGGTCGAGCCCGATTATTCCCGCGGCGGCGTTGGCCGGGGCCATTTTGGCCGATTTTTCAGTAGGTAAGTACAGGTGGTGATTTATAAAGTGGGAATGCAGCTCGGTGGGCCGAGTGCCGCTCACGGCGATCCATTACAGTCTCCTGCTGCTTCGAGTCATAATATTTCCCTCCCCGTAGCTGGCATCAACCCCTGCCATCCCTTGCTCGTATACCGCCCCATCACCGTACTTTATGCATACTAGGACTTTCTATACCGCCCACTATCCTGGCAAACATTATAACACCGTGAGATTATGAATTTTGTATATGCCTCGACATCTTCCTCCTGCAACCTAACCTAACCTCCTCTCGAACTAGTCTACGCGTTAACTCTTATTTGCGTCGCGACTAAACTTTCGATCATCGCCTCGATTAAATTGTTACTATTTCAAAATTTATTATACCACGTGCGCCAATTCTTGGACAATAGACTCACGTACTCACGTACAAGCCGATGGCCAGGTTAGAGTCGACTCGAGTATGCTCTATCTTTTCTACGTACCTGAAAACAGAATTATGTGTTAGATTTTTCTCTTTTGTTTGCATAATTTTAGAATTTGGACACTTTTTTAATTTTAGTCTCGGAATTGATAGTTTAGAATTTTTTCGTTAAGTTATGTGATAGCATGTTGTAATTGAAAAATTTACAGATATTATTACAATATTTTCACTAATATATATTTATAAGGGTTAAATTATAGAACCACTTAAAGAAGCAATAAAAGTGACAATGAGCTTGTATCACCATTCATACCGAGCGAAAATTTAAAAATTTTCCATCCTCTTATTAATCCTAATTGACTATAATAAAATGTCAGAGTACAAAGGAAAAATATCTGTTATGCCATAAATTATTCCGCGTTTGATGATAAAAAAAGTTTTGGTAAAAAAGCTAATATTTTTCTGCATTGCAAAATATATTCAGATAGTATTGTTCATGTTCGATATTGTGAGTTCATTGTGAAAGATGAAAGTTAAACATTGTACAAGAACGATTGATGTATGAAATAATATGAAATGTGTATATGATATTTATCTCTCAAAAAAAGATAATACAATTGAAGGACAATTTTTACCGATTGAAACTTATTATTGTTAGTCTGTCACACAATGACAGTCATTCGAAATTCTTTACTCTCGAATACTTCAAAGAACTCTCCTGGCTTAATTCTATATTCTCAACATTCCACTCTACTTCTGACTTTTCACCAATTAACCAAGGCATGACTTCTTCTCAGCCATTTATCCTTGCACGCATACATTCCTTTCCTCTCTATTTTTCTTTTCCTTTCTTTCCACTGAAAAATAGAAAATTCTTCTTTCGTACGACAATTTCAAGCACACCCTTCAACTCTCTAGACATTTCCCGTCTCTATCATTTGATAAAGATCTTACCATTTCCACACAGCATAAATGAAAAGTAATCAATGTGACAAAAGTATCTCTGACAATCCGCTGACTGTCGCATCGAAAATTTTATTACCGCTTCGGTTAACGAATTGAGACGCCAGACAGTTCGACAAATTACAATTTGCACTGCCGTGCCCAATTAGTGTACTCAAGCTGCTGGAACGAAGATTTCCAAAGCTCGTAATAGCGGGCAACTCGCGAACAGTACGACGCCGAGGAATTTCCATCGTGGAATTCCGAATTCAAACTAATTTCATGTCTAATTAGCATGTTCCTTTGTTGCGAACAAACATCTATGAACGTAGATCGACTGACTAACTAAGTAACCCTTGTCGATGTAACATGCGTCTATTTGTACGTACGTACGTGCCATCGATTCGTAATAATGTTTAAAGTAGCCAATGGCTATTTGTTTGCACGCGATGGTGTACGATCAACGTCCATTGATCAGAAACCGCGAACACGCGTCGAGGGATCGCGTGAAACACGACAGACGGTAAACAGAGGAACTCGGATATCGAGGGTGCATTATGCTAAAGTTTCATGCAATTAGGCGCTTATTGGGGTGCATTCTCTGCAGCGGGATTCCTTTCCAACTGATGGAGTTTCGTCCGTCGGTTTCCTCCGGCTGAATTAATTATATACGGGTTATGGGGGAGGGGAGGGGGTTACTTTAAACTTCGACTTTGAAAGTAGAATTCCTTTTCCCTCCCGTTGATTTTTAACTTGAGACGTATCCCGAGCAAGATAAATAACCCCCGGTGAATACACTCTTCTCAACGGACTCGTAAACTCACCGCTCTCCCTCCCCCCACTGAAATACTTTCAGAGGCGCGACAAAAGGAGTAAACGAAACATTCCAACTTTGCATTCAACCTTCGAGTCGATACGAGGGGGGGGGGGCAGGAAAAAATAAACTGAAGCCGATGCACAAGTAGACGAGGGATTAAAGTGTAGGTACAATTATTTAACTTCCAGAGAAACGTATAGAATTGGGAGGTGATCTGATCATTATTTTCATTAACTTGACTACGAAAGTGGAACTAATACTAATACTAATACTATATTTTAAATATATTGTGAAACATTATCAAATAAATAAATACAATATATTATAAAACAAATACTCCATTTTAGATATTTGCAATATTTTCACGTATGAAATGAATTGTGCGAGTTTTTACAACTTGAAATGTTATAAAAACCAGTTATAAACATCTCAAGACGAGTTCACTCTTGCAAAACATTGCGAACAAAATTTATTTTCAGATCTTATTGCGAGAATTTTTCAACAGTTGAAAACGTGACGTCCACGTGGGGCTGGCTCGCGTCGATTACAAGGGCACGCGCGAATCTCTATTGCGGGCGATTTGTCGAGTTAATGGATCGATATATTCTCCTAGTTCGTGGGATCGGTGCGGCTTCCTTTTAACGAGCGTTTGATACGATGTCTGAACGTTGAGCAATTTGTTTCGCGACGTTCCT